GAGGAGAGGAGAGGAGAGGAGAGGAGAGGAGAGGAGAGGAGAGTGTAATGGCTTTGGGATGTAGGAGGTCCAGGTCCAAAATTCAGGAATTACACTTGTAAAAGACATTGTAATTATACAAACATTACAGCTTGCGCCTTTTTTATTTTACAGATATAAACAAACGGGGAGAGGTGTACCTCTCACCCATAGACTCCTGGAGACAGGCAGCAGCCCCACAGTGATCCTGATGGAATAAGTGGGAGAAGATGGATGTATGGATTTAAACAAACAGCTTTGACAAAAGAAAGACACAAACCACTTTTAAAATTGTTTTTATATAATATATATATTTAGTTAAGTAAATTATTTCCATTGAAAAATCGCAGGCTATTCTGTAAAGTTTAGCCACCAAAGATTCTATTCACAGATTTGTCTTCTGCCATGGAAATGCTATATATGTTTTAAGAACAAAATGGCTGCAACACCGTTTGGGTAGATTTTAAATATTTCTGAGTTTGGGTTTCAACTTGAAAAATAGAGCCAAGGCTTTCATAACATGTCGATTTTCTTTTCTTTTTTTCAAAATGATACAAAGAGGCCAAATAAAATATCTCCTCTCCACTCTGTATCATTTGGTTTATGCTTTATTAGTTTAAGAATGGGAACATTATTAAATTGATAGCGCTTTAAGAAATGATATAGAGTTATCATTGAATTGAATTATATAGTAAAATAGAGCCTGCCCCAATTGTTATTGTGACTAAGTCTTTGGTCAAAGTGGAAATGGTGAACATAGTTAACATTACCTTTCTGTAACTTGTTTTAACTGCATAGCAGGTAAAAGTTGCTGTACAAAGTAAAGTCAGCAAAACAGCCAACTGGTATTCAAATAAACTCACAAATAGCCTGATTTTTACCATCTTAATACTTTTTATTTAATATAGAGGACATCTTATTTAGTTGCTGTGATCATAATGAGTAAACTGAGTTAAAACGACCAAAAATCATACCCTATAGCATAAAGTTTATGTTTGTGGTTTTGCTGGGTTTTGAACTAAACTAGCCGGTTATTTATTTTTGCTTATTCCAAAATCGATTTTCTTTAAACCCTACAACTTCAGATCAATCAGAATCAAACAGACCTGATTAATAAGTGTACAGTTTCGTCAATCATGAGCATGGGAAGTCAGTTTTCTGAAAGCTGAGGATCCCCACTGCTTCACAAAAGATAGCTCTGCTGGGTCCTCCTTAACTGACAAACAGCCGCCTCCACTCTTTCTTTTCAACATGTTTGTCCTACAGGGTTAAAAGAAACCAAACAGAAAAACTACAACTGAGGTAACATTGTCCCTTAGATTCTGCATGGAATGTTTAAGTTGCATTTACAAGACAAAAATATCTTAACCATGATGATCACTACATGCATAAGCCTGTATATTTGATTAAAATAACTTCCAAATTCCCCTTTAAGTGTTTTTTTTTCTTTTTATCTGAGCTCTGAAAGAACAAAAGTGCAAAAATAATTTGAACAACCCAAATTTGAATTTCAATTTGTTTCATACTTTTTCCACATTATATAAGACACATAAGACCTTATTAGAAAATAAACTCATGATCACAATGGAGCTAACAGGCCAATGGTTCGTTTATTCAAGTGTGGCTTTAGATGCACTCCTGGAAAGATTAGAAAGTCTTTAAAATCCAACCATCCCAAAGATAAAACGGGCATATCTGTCACATAGACAGTAATTGCTCTAATAAAGTGAATTTGGTGTTTGACAGGGAGGACACACAGTTTTTTTTGATAAAGATATGAACTGCAGAGTGAAGTGAAGTGAGGAGGGGCAGATGGGGATGAAGAGAGGAGAGCAAGCAAACCGAGCGGAATGATGTGTGGCGCGCGCCCTCAGCACACCATGCAAGCTCAGATATTATTTTTTCATAATTCTGCATGATAAAATTTCATTGTCTATTAAGTAATCCAGCAAATGAGATCCTTTATGAGGGTATAATGAGACCTAATTGCAAAGACTAGTGGAGCCACGTGGAAGGATTTAGGAGGCATTAAGCCGTCGGGTACTGAGCACAGACTGTTACCTAGCCATTACTTTCATAATTCAAGGAGAAAATTAGTCCATTTAAGGGGAAAAAAAACCCTTTGATTCCATTTATTCTGCTCAAGTTGACAGGATTCCAGTTTTCCCCCTTTTGGTTAAGATGCCTGTGCAACAAATGAGGCTTGTAAACCATCAGTCACTCTTTAAATGTTAAATAATAAAAGAGGTGAATATCAGAAACATAAAAACAAAACAAAACATAAAACAAAAAAAACAAACAAACAAAAAAAAAAAAACACAGAGAGGCCTATACTCTCAGTTTGCCTGTTCTTTCCCCTCCACTGCTGTGCACCCTTTAGTGCAACAGTTCCCCTTCACTATTCAGCGCCTTTTCAAACCCTGTTGATGGGCAATTAATCACTGGGCTATTCAGAAACATAAAAAATTCAATTGGATCAAGAATATGATAAAACACTGATTCTTTTTAGAGTATTTGTGAGTTTATACACGGTGGCATCATTTCACTGTATCTGGTTTAACGTCAGAGAGGGTTAATGAGTCTAGATGAAGTAAAAGGAACAAAGTTGTCAAATTGCAATGCTGAAGCCCCCCCATTCACTTTGCATTGCATGCCATATTATACTGTGAAGAAGACCATTAAAGGTTTGTTCTACAAGCGTCATTAACTTGTATAAACGCCCTTCTTTTTTACAAACTTAGCATTGTTGTGCAGAGGATGATTTGCTCCTTTATTAGTCTCCAGGCAACACATACTGAAGAACACTATGGAACCCTCTGTATACATTCAAGTGGCAAAGGGGGGAATGAACAATGATCCCATGGATGACATAATGTCACGCAATGACTTTTCATTAGCAATTATCTGTTTGATGTGAACAGCAGCTGCAGCGGCTTCTCCCCATTTTGGGGTCTGCAGGAGAAAAGAGCAGGGCAGAGAAAAAGAGACTTGTTTGTGAATGGCATCCTGCAGGAGTCTGGGGGACCTGACGGTGTCCATGAATGTGGAATTTAATTTATATCACAATGAATAATTGGGTTTGTATGCAAAACTGAGTTGAAAATAATTACATGTTAAAGACTGTGACAGCGTAGAAAGGAAAAACAAAGCACTCTTTTTAATGTCTCCTGCCAGGAGTTTCATAGTATTTTGAGATCAATAAGGTGCAGAAAACATGGATCAGGAAGGAGATTCTTTAGTATCAGAGGACTGTTCTGTTGCAGATATATCCTTAAATCTTTCTACAAACAGCTCCAGTGATTGGACGCAGACAACATCATTAAGGAGCCCAGGCCCTCAGCCCTTTAGAAAACTAAAGTGACAGCGTCAGTGGAGGAAGAGGTTTCTGAACAAAGCCAATGAGGGCCCCGTTGATGGCCTATAGAGATGTCCTGCACCAGGCTCCCTCTAATTAGAGAGACGCTCCTCAGTCTCACATAGCCTTTCAGTGCAGACACTCCAGACTGAAGTGTGTCCCCCGTGCCCAAACGAGTGTGTCTGGACGTCCACACTCAATGCTGCATGGATACGAGGCTGCGCTTCATGGCTCACACAATCAAGGAGTGCCGAAAATGAGATAAACACCGACTGATTGCGATGCTAAAGTTCATGGAGAAACATCTTTATTGAAGCTTATTGTTGAAACTGATTTGTCCCCATATCTCCAATTATTTCCAAAAGACTAAGCAAATGCCATTAGAGGGATGGCTCAGAACAGCCCTTATTTCAATCTGTTCTTGCTTGAATTGTCAAAGAGTCTTGAGTTTCTGTCGGTATTGTAGATAAGAGGCGTCCCCATTGTTGTTTACTTTGCAGTACATCTTCGTTATCAGCTGTAAGGGCTCATTACTGGGCCCCTCACTGGTTTCAAAGAAGATCAAGATGCTGTTTTGCTTCTGTTAATGAATGGCCTTTTAGGAAAACTAGGGCGATGCCTGCTAACTTTAGAAGAGTATTCCAAAGCCGCAAAAAATCATCTGAATTTA